TGTAGACACAGGATACCACTGACCCAAGGGAGTTGGACCATCTACTGACTCCCAGTGGTCTGAACCTATTCAGAAGATGCCTGTTCATGCTGAGAAGTATTCATACAGCTCTGGACCAGCTCCTGTGAACAACTCGCAAAGCTGCTCACCGAGGAACTGTGGGAAGCGGAAACTCCTACAGTTTCATCCAGGGCACAAACAAGAAAGTGTTATACAACAGTATCAAATGGAATGAATGACAGCAAGTCATTTACAAAAGCCATATGGTCAGCATGACGCTGGTCCTGGCATGCACCAGGAGGTATGCCTGTAGCAATGTGGCATATGCCTTTGACCATCTTCCAAGTAACCTATGGGACTTGCATTAACAAGCCACATGAGGGAGGGTGGCACCCTGGAAGCAGGATAGGGGACTGAGGCTGTGCTCTCAATCTGTCAGACTCCAGCCTCCCAACAGTTGGCGAAGCAGTGGGAAAGCAGCTCATCCGCAAACCAGCTCGACCTTTCAGAGGCACACAGGCAATGGCATTGATCGCTTCAAAGCTGGGGCTTGGCAAAGACCGATTTAAAAGCCCGTCCTTTAGCTCCCACACAGAACAGGTCCATCCTCTCGGACAGGTTTCTAACTGTCCCTCACATGCACCTACAGGGGAACAGCAGCCTGAGCCTGAGGACACGTCACTTCCTGGCTTCTCCTCCTGCTTCTGACCCAGGCTTATTTCAAAGGAGAAAGAACCAATGGCCAGAGAGTCTCACAAGCATAGCCACAAGGTAGGGTGTGGAGAGGAAGGTTAAAAAAATATGCATTAGGGCCCAGCGCGGTGGCGCAAGTGGTTAAGGTCCTCACCTTGCACGCCTGGGATCCTATATGGGCGCCGGTTCTATCCCGGCAGCCCCGCTTCCCTTCCAGCTCCCTGCCTGTGGCCTGGGAAAGCAGTTGAGGACAGCCCAAAGCTTTGGGACCCTGCACCCGCATGGGAGACCCGGAAGAGGCTCCTGGCTTTGGTTCAGCATAGCATCAGCCGTTGCGCTCACTTGGGGAGTGAATCATCAGACAGAAGACCTTCCTCTCTGTCTCTCCTCTCTGTATATCTGCCCTTCCAATAGAAAAATAATAAAAATAAATCTTTAAAAAAAATCCAGACACACAATGCTGCACACAGGGTATGCAGTGGTCAGAAGTCATAATCTAGAAGCCCACAGAAAAACAAAGATCTGCTAACACAGTGCTGAGGCAACAAAGCAAGATGCAGAACAAAACATACAACCATTGACATAACTTAAAATATAGGCAGATAAAAGTTGCACACTTTAAAACTATACATTAGAATGGTGGTCTACAGGGGGCAAAGAGCAATGTGAGTAGAGAAGACAAAAGGGAAGGAATGAAAGAATGAAAAAAACCTAACGAATGAGTCAAGGAATCATAATGCTATAAGCAGGGGGAGTAATTCAACTAACCATGTCTGACATCTAAGCAGAGAATAAGGAAGAAATGAGGAAAGGAAAAAGGTTCTGCAAAATATGTTAATATATTTGTCTGCTGCCATACCCCCCTTGGCAACCGGACCATTTGGAAAATATCAGCGGCTGACAGACGTTATTTATGGCCCTGTCTTACAGCCCGCAGGCACTGGGTACCCTGAGAGAAACTGAGACGAAAGCAACAAATTCACACATATACCCAGCAAATTCCATTTTGCTATCTGCCCCTTCAAAACATTCTGGCTCCGTGATAAAATATCTGTGCTCAAATTCTGACTCAAATTTTTCTGAGACAAGAAGATGCTAGAAAGGAAAACTTTGGAATTCGGATGCTAGATGTTTGGAATCCGGTAGGGGGAAAGAAAACAAACAAGCAATGCTCACTCTGAAATTTATCAGATTGGTGTCTTACCTTTCAAAGAGTTTAGATGGTGACACAAACAGAAAGAGGGTGGCAGAACAATTAAGACCTGGGCAATAATGCCACCTGTGGCAGATGAGCCACGGCGAATGACTGCAAGTCCGGGGACTTGGCTGGGAGCCGGGCTAAGGAACAGAACAATGTAGCAGAGAAGTCCTAGTGGCAAAGGTGTTAGAAGGCAGCACCAACCCTGATCACCACCTGGCTTTGCCAGTTTGCAGATGTATCTCAAGGCTGGCATTGTGGTACAGTGGGGTAAACCACCATTCACAATGATGGCATCTCATGTGGGTTCTGTTTTGAGTGTCAGCTGCTTTGCTTTGGATCCAGGTCCCTACTAAGGCACCTGATTAAGCAGCAGCCGATGGTCCAAGTGCTTGCCACCCTTGTGGTAGAAACAGATGAAGTTCCAGGCTTTGGCCTGGCCCAGAATTAGCTGTTGTAGCCAACGAGGGAGTGAAAAACAGATGGAACATCTCTGTCTCTCCTCTTTAAGTCTGCCATTCAAATAAACAAACATAAAACAATAACAAAAAGGAAAGAAAAGATAAATGAGTCCTACCTAAAGTGCCCCTGAGAAAGCAGCCATTGTGTTAAGCCCACCTTTTCTCTAGTGATTGATAGATGGAAGAACGAGCTAGGAAATCATTACACACCAGGGAAGGCAACTCTTCGCATCCTGAACAATGCTATGCCAAATGCTGCAAGGGTCTCCGTTTCCAAAAGAGAACTCCTGGTTTTGTTCTTTCCTTGAAGTAGAATGTTCTTGGGGTGAATAGGAGCGTGTTTGGAGTCAGAGAAAACTTAGTCTAAACCGTGTATCCTCAATTTAGTAGCCCCAACTTCTACGACCTTTCAAGTAGGTCAAAAATCTCTCACAGGATGCTGGAAAGATTAGATAAGCTGATGGATGCAGTGCCTCCTTGTGCCTGACTCACCGTAGGTGACCCCTCGATGCTACCTATGATAGTTCTTATTGCAGACAGTGTAAACTGCAGAGAAAGATTGGATTCTAAACACGGCCAGTAGCTCCCCAAAATTCACTTCCCATCCTGATTTTCTGGTAACTTCATCTCCATTTTTTTCTAGTAAAGACCAAGAGTCAAATAATTCACTATTAAACACACTTGACAGCCTAATTTTTAAAAACATTAGGTCAACAAGATACTGCAGATGCTATTTTTGCAAATATATCTTCTCCTTCATCCTTTTTCAGAGACTGCTTATAATCCCATCATTTATTTTACCAGGCCCTTCAGATATTTAGACTGTCCCAAATGTTTTACTACTATTACCAATGTCCCAATAACATCTTTATTATCCAAACATCTTGGCACACTGGTCTAATTATTTTTTGAGGCCAAATTGTTGAGTCTAAGCATGCTTACTTTTTAAAGGTTTCTCAAGTGCCTTATGGAAATGGCAGAACCAGACAGCAAGTCCACCAGCTGAATCATGGTCATTCTTCACATCTCCATGTACTTCAGTAGGTGGAAGCATGTTCGGAAGGTCACATGGTGTGCCAGGGACTTTCTACCCACATCACTCCCAGCTCCGGGGTCCTTAATGACAGAAGCAGCGTGCTGCGGTCTGGGGACTGGCCTGCTTGGTGTCCATCCCCGCTTGTTCTGGTGGCTTCCCTGACTGCCCTTTCACAAACAACCCAGCTCTGGGTTTTGTGTAGCACTCACAACACTGTCAATCAAGGTGTGTTGTTTTCAGCCTGGGTCAGCCCAAGCCACATCAAGCTGATGCAATCTTTCCTGGGAGCCTGGATCTTGTGAAGAGTGAGGCAAGGGCCACAGCTGAGAACTCTGTTGTCATGCAAACATTATCCAGAAGACTCTTCCCATTGGTGTCTGGCTCCTGGGCCTCTGGGGTTGGTCCGTCCTCAAGCCTGATTCTCCTGCTCCTCCTGTCTCACTGAGTCACCCCACAGCCTTCCTGATTCCTTCACTGTTGTGCTGGTGGTATTTTCATCTATGTTAGAGTTGACTCTACTTGTTCTGAAATAATCGTGTGTTTCAGGAGTGTCAGGGGAGAACTACACGCCTCCTTATTACTCAAAAACATTTTCCCTTGCTCAATTTTTTTTGGGAAAAAAATGTGCCTCATCTTGTAAATACCACTCAACCTACCAAAGCAGCCATTTGGAATTACATAATAATTTATACAAAACTCATGGTAAAACCTGAATTTCAGAGAATAAAAGGAGGGAGGCAAGCTGTCTTCTATTAAGTTTCCCCCAAAAACTAGTTCATGTTTTGTTCACATGAGAGACATTGTTTCATCAATTTTCCTGACAAACCTGCAATATATGGTAGGGCTACATTTGGGTTGTTTTCCAAGTAGATTTTATAGGATTCCCAGAAACTTGGAAGGGGTTCGGGTTTTTTGTTTGTTTTTTTTTCTCAAATGTATCAAAGAGATAATGCCCCAAAACACTCGACCAGAAGCAGTTTGATTCTATTCCCACTGCCGACTCAGTCTATAGGTGCCCTTGGAAATCACGATTCGCCAGAGTGCTCAGAGCCAGCAGCAGGGGAAATGCACTGTGCATTGCACACAGGCTGCCCAAGAACAAGTGCATCCAAGAGGAATAGAATGACAGAGGCACCATCTCCAACAGAGGCCACAAGGAAAATAAACTTATTAAGCAATCACCTAAAACACACACAGGCGCTCCAGTCCTTTGAGCAAGACTGTGCAGGAGGCAATGACAACTCTGCCTTTCCCCCAGGATAAGGCTCTTGAGGAATTGGGTATTAGTGGATTAAGTGACTTTTAAGTGGTGAGTGGAGCTACAGTACTAGGAAGACCTAGGATTAAGTGAGATAATATACATGAGAAGCTTTGTCAAGTGTGAAGGGTCATATAAATGCAAGGTGTCATTACCGCCTTGCCAGCCAGGCTCACTGAACGTCCCCCTGCAGTCAGTGAGGTGGAAAGTCTGGGTGGAAGTGTCTCCTGCTGCACTGAGAGAAGTTGTCGCAGCATGCCCACAGCACCTCCTAGTGGTTCAGCTTAGAGGCAGCAACCCTCCAAACCTACTCCCAGCCCAGCTGCAGAACAGTCAGTCCTGCTTCATACTTACTCCCTTCGCTCTGATTGTCTTTGTTCGAATTGTAGACCTGGAAAACAGAAAGGAGACACTTACTCAGGTGCATCTGATGCCACACTACAGGTTAGCTGCAGGAAAAAAAAATTACCTTCCCTCTTTCCCCAGTTTGTGTCACAAAACTGGCCCCTCCCTATACAAGAACCCCTTCAATAATCATCTACTCCTTACTACTCCTTAGTATGTAATTATTCATTTTTTTACTTGAATTGTTCTTTACTGTGCATGAATCAGGATCACCTGCAGAATTTCATGCAAAAAATCATATTCCACTTTTTAAAAAAAAGCAAATGCACTACATGTATGGTAAACAAACAAAAAAAAAAAGGAAAAAGGAAAAACAAATCACTGAGCAAGAACTGTGCCTCAGGGGATGCACTGAGCCATTCACAATAAAGGATCCCCAGCAGCAATCCTCTGGGTGAGAGCTGTCAGGACCACTGCTTTATCAGCACACACAAGGCCCAGAGAGGTCATCTAAGGCCTCCTGGTCAGCCAGAGGCAAGGCCAGGACTCCTGCTGGTTGCGGACAGGTCACTTCTTACTCAATACCCTTTTGTAAATCTGAATGTTACAAGAATATATTACATTCACAATTAAAAGCCCTTATGTGATTTACAGAAAACCTAAGAGGGGAAGAGTGTCCCAATTTAAACAGGCAATGACATATTGCAAGGGTAGGCAAGCTTTTCCTGTAAAGGGCTAGACAGCAAATATTTAGGGTTTTGAGGGCCAAAAGGCAACATTGGTAACACACTGCACAGGCTCTTATGTAAGAAGCATAGAAACATATTCCCACAAAATATTTACTGCCAAGTTTTTAAATTTGATGACTGAGTGTAGTTTTTAGAATAAAAGTCTGATCAGAAGAGCTGAATTTTTAAAGAGAGAGTATGCCATTTTAACTGAGATGTAAAATCATATTCCCTATCATCAATCAGCTCCAAATCATCACTGGAACTCTGGGCTTGGCTCAAGTGCTATCTAAAAGCATAGACGGGTGGGCTGCAGATGGTCTGTGGTTCACAGCTTGCCCACTCCAGGCATGTCATCATCTTTAAATGCAAGCCTTTCGTTTGAAAAAGAAAAATCCGCAGTGCCCAAAACCTTCTTCAGGGACTCTGCGAGGTACAGAAAAACTAGGATGAAACTTGCCAACACCCTAATACCAGCAGCAGCAGCGAAGGTTAACCAACAGTTCCACTCAGTGACAACCATTCAGTTAACCTCCAAATCTCTGAAAAAAGGTACAGTAATGTCAAAAGGAAATTTTTACCAGCTAAGAAACATGAGTGGGAACGGGTATAATTTGACTCTTGGATTCCTGTGCGTCCATGAGGAAAGTCTGTTGCTCTCTCCAGGCCTCCAATGCCCTGCCAGTAAACTCCAGGAGTCGCCTTGGAGGTCTCTGAATTATCACACTCTAAATACAGCAAATCACCACACTGTATTATCAGTGTTCATTTCCTTAAAAAGACTAAAGTTGCACAGATGCTCACTGAAAGAAAGATAAGCAAAAAGGGCAGCTGCACAGGCATCTAAAGAGGACTATGGGGCCCACTGCGGTAGCCTAATGGCTAAAGTCCTCGCCTTGCATGTGCCTGGATCCCATATGAGCGCTGGTTCATATTCCAGCGGCCCTGCTTCCCATCCAGTTCCCTGCTTGTGGCCTGGGAAAGCAGTCGAGGATGGGCCAAAGCCTTGGGACCCTGCACCCATGTGGGAGGGGAATAATACTATTTTGGCAAGTAATGTTTTTCATCCATCTCCAGTCAATGCATTTCTCCTATTAAATTCAAATATTCATTACAATTTTTTTATTTATGTACTTTTATTTGAAATGTAGAGACTGTTGTCCATTTACTAGTTTACTCCCTGAATACCCGTAAGAGTTAGGGTCATAGACAGGCAGCAGGAACTCAATCTTGGTTTCCCAGGGGAGTAGCAGGGACCTGAGACCTAATCTTCTGTCTCCCAGGATGTGTGTTTGCAGGAAGTTGCCATCAGAAGCGCGACTGGAACTCAAACACAGGCATTCTGTTATGAGATGCTTATGTCACAAGTGGCACTGTAAGGACTGCTTCAGATTCCTTCCCCCTAGAGTCAAAACATTCTATCCAAGAGGAACTGGCTCTTCTTTACAGATGGCAAACATCCAGAAGGAAGAGTGAAACACAGGGCTTACAGCACTCCTAATTAGGTGGTGAGTGGATGCTGAATTACTCTCCTCCAAAGGTTCCGTGGGCCTCAGGACAGCCCTGCCTGGAACACCCAAACATTCCCCAACTGGAGACCTGGGAGCAACAAGCCAAAGGCACTGCAAACATGCAGTGCTCAATCCTCTGAAGCCTGGCCATTCATATCTGTCTGTTTTGGGTAAATTGGCCCAGGAGAATGAAGCTAACAAAACATGTGTGCCAGCACTGTCTGATTACAGACTATCAAGGAAGGTCCAGGCAGGGGAACAGCATTAACATAGCAGGGGCCAGATGGTGGCTGTGAACAGCACAGGTAGGTACGACTCTGCATACCAAGTACCATACCTGACCATATACTTGTAGCCACCATATTGGATTCATCTAGTGGCATTTTCCTTTACAGGTAAGAATGTGAGGCTCAAAGAGACCACAGGATTACCCACAGGCGCATACTGCTGACTGCTGTACTGTTTTTTGTGCCTCTACCTTTCCCTGCAGTGACACAACAAACATGGTTCCCACTGTGAGGTTCTATACATCTACAGTGGTGAAGCGCACACAATTCGCCCTTTAGAAGCCTGCTCTGAGCCCAGATGCTCACAGCATCAGACCAAGGCCAGAGAACAGCGCAATGTGCTGAAACAGCGTGACTGTCTTGTGACCCACAGAGTAATCAGGTTCATGCAACTACTGGTGGGTCTCTCCAGGGCCTCTGTCTTACTGGCAGGAAGCCAACTGCCCAAGATCAACCCCAAGGGTTACTCAACAATGCTTGAACTGTGGCTCCTAGACAGGCTGAAACAATTAACCACAAATACAACTGAAGCTGAAGTCTGTCCTGGGCCTGTGTTTTGGTGCAGTTGAGTTAAGCTATTGCCTACAACACAGGCATCCCTTATCAGAATGCTGGTTCAAGTCCCATCTCTGCTGCTGCCTAGCTCCCTGCTAATGAGCCTGGGAAGGCAGTGAAAATGGCCCAAGTGCTTGGCCCCCTGCCACTTACGAGGGAGACCTGGAAGGAGTTCCTGACTCCTGGCTTAGGCCTGACTCAGTCCTTGCTGCTGCAGCCATTTACACAGTGAACCAAACACATGGAAGATTTTCCTATTCTCTCTCTACTGAACTAACATTTTGCTTTTCAAATAAACCAAACAACACACTTAAAAAAATAAAAATTATTTTTGTCCTGCCCTGCTTAGACAGGACCTGATCACATGAAAATCTCTTTAAGTCTCTAGTTTTTCATTCTTGGAGGTGGATATGCTGTAGTTGCTACTGAATGCTTAACATGAAGATTTGTTAAATATCTACACCAGTGAAGAATCACATATATGCTTCTAGAAAATAGAAATTACATGTGTTTATCTTATCAGAGTCCATCTACATATCATTAAAAATAACTACATAATAATTAATTAATGATGAGGATGACCAGATACCATGCCAAGCATTCTATTTGCATTATCTTGCTCAATCCTATTATGCCCATCACACAGATGATAAAATTGAAGCATCACACAAAGTTAGGCAACTGGAAATGGGTAAAATCCAGAGAGGAACTCCCATACTCTGTCTTCAGAGCCCAAACACTTAACCACTAACCACGTGATAATGAAGACTTTGTGATGATGACGACAATAAATGTGATGGGATGCTGTGGGCAGTGAGGGCAGGTGAGTCAGGCCAAAGCTAGCCGGCCCCGAGTCAGAAAGAAAATGAAACTGGGAGTGGCCTTCTGACGGCTGCCCAAAGCGGGTGCCACCAACCCCTGGAACCATCTGGCACCCAACGCACAAGTAACACTTCATATCCTCTGAGCCTGAAGATAAACACCAGGGCAGGAAAGCAGGTCTTTAATAAAAATTACAGGGCACAGTGATTCTACGAGCCTTTACCTAGAATGCTGCTACAATGCAAGTACGATTTAATATCAAAGGAGAGTGAATAAAGCCTTCATACATCTCCTCCGTGCTAAGATGTGATTTTGCAATAAACTCTGCTCACCACCGAGCCAAGTCAATCCCCACGACCCCCAAGAATGGAGAGCAAATACACGGAGCCATCTGGGTTCCCGGAATGGGTTTCCATGGGTAATCTTTAGTGCCATTATCCCGGTATACTGAAAAACCACGGAGACGTGCTTTTTTCTGCTGAAAAATTTTAAGTTAAGGACACAAGGAAATCAATAATGAGATGAAACCATCTAACTTTTCTCTTGGACACAAGCTGCATGAGCCCGTGGCTGCACTCTTCTCTGAGATCAAAACCTGCCCAAAATAAAGGGTTTGCCCATCTACATTCACAGGCAAACTGATGTAGAATTTTACTCCCACTGGGATTGGACTGTCTTCACCTCAGTAGCTGTCCAGACACTCTGATTCCCTGAGGCCTCCTGCCTGGAGCACCTGAGCCCCTCCCATCAGGCTGCTGCCCTGAGACCAACATGGGAAATTGCGGGACAGGGCACGCCACACAGCCTGCTTCTGCAGCTTCAGATCTCATCATGCCCTCACCGCGTGCCGCATAATGGATCCACCATGGCCAAAATCTGCCTTTTGGAATTGTTTCATTGCCGACAGATTTGTAGCACTCTCCAGCTTGGGTCAAAGTCCAATTTTACTGTGTAGTAGCTACAGACATCAGTGAATATCTGTAAGTTTAGTTTGGCTTTCAATAAAAAGGGGATTTTAATGCTTCCTATTTCTTGGGGTTTTTGTGAAAATTATGTGGAATAATAAATATATTTAGCATTGAATGCAAATCCTATGGTCAACAGCAAGCGTTCCATAAAGATTAACCTCCATCAGTTTCATCA